GTGAACAGAGTTCTCCTGTCCAGCTGGGGAGAATGTGCGCGTGCATCCTACTCTAATTCAGTGCAAGCAGAAGTCACACGGAGCAAGTCTGCCCACCGACCCTCCCCAGGGCGGCCCCAGCTCCACACCCAGGCAATGCGTTGGCCCCCCCAGAAGACAAGAGGGGTTTCTCTCGTTGAGAGCTGTCTGGATCTGTTCCGAAAATCACTGCAGACAACAGAACAAGCCCATCCTCTCTCCTCTTCCTCCTTCCTCCTCTTTCTCCTCCCATGGCTGTGGACTCTCCAGTCCCCACCGGAAACTGCTGCCTCTCCTCTCCCCGCCTCCTGAATTCTGGAGCTTCTCCCTGCCCTGAGAGCTCTGGATTGTGCCTCTCCACCTCCATCTCCATCTCCCTCTGGTGCCTTTCTTGGGCCCTCCTCGCTTGCCTCTGTCCATGACTCTACATTTGTGGACCCAAATCTGCACTTCACTCCCCTTTCTCTCTCTGGCCCCTCATCACCAGAAGATAAAGTCCAGACCCCGGCCCTTCCCAGCCCAGCCTTTGCCTGACTGTCAATTCCACCCACTCAGTAAACAGCCGGGGCACACTCCGTGTTCTGGGCTATGCACTCCACGCCACGTGTGAGGGCTGTGTCTTGATGTCCCCAAAGCCTCAGGTGGTCATAACTAGGGCTTTTTCAGAGGCGGCTGGATGTAGAGTGTGTGACACTGGAACTGATTCCGTGCTAGGCTCAGGGCACTAGGATGAAGGGTGTGAGGCCGCCTGCCCTATGTAGCCTGGATAAGATGAAAGGGGCAGACAGACGCTGCCGAGGCTCCTTGTTGCTTTTGCTGTCTTCTGCTTGCCATGGACTCTTTCTCCTCTGCCGTGCAATCTTGCCTTGGAGCCAGCCAATTACAGACTGAAACCTCCACAAACTGTGAGCCAAATAACCTTTCCCCCTTTGTCTCAGCAATGAGAAAAAAGTAGCTCAGATACTGAGCTATGCAAACCATGGGTCTCGGCACACAGGAGGGAGGCGTGACCAATGGAAGCAATGCAGCAGGAAAAGAGAAGCCTTTGGAGACTCTTGGCCAATAGAGTAACTTCTGCAGGCTGCAGCTGTACCACAGCTCCAGATCCAGCCTCCTGGCAGCACTCCACACAGAACAGAACAAAACAAAACAATGACAAAAACAAAAAGAAAAGATACAGGATAATCCACGATTAAAATACAAATTAAGTGTCAAGACACAAAGCCCATGAAAGTCACTACAATAACACTGAATCACAGCGAAATGAGATCACACGGCACTTAGAAGAGAGAAACAGGGAGAGGTTTATCATGCTCAAGCACAGCCCTGGTGCTGGTCTGTAACTCAGGGGTGTGGGTCAGGTACCAGAACACCAAGTACAGACTTACACGGAGATGCTAACAGCACACCTGGGCAGGCACAAAGTGGCACCTACACGTTCTTACTCCATCATCTACAAGTATTAGAAGAAAATTACTTTTAAAAACAAGCTGATGTGGTGATGTAACATCAGGGAGCTGAGGCAGGAGGATCACTGTGAGTTCAAGGCCTGCCTGGAATACGTAGCAAGACCCTATAGCTCTCAAAACACCAAACAAGAACAATAACAACAAAAAACTGGTGAATGAAATACTATGGTAAAAGCTTGGATTTATTTTAAGGAGCCAAGAAACTTAATTTGCAATGCCATTAAATGATGTTTAAGAGGATTCCAAAAGGAGATTGGGAGGATACCATGTCAAAACTCAAGCAGATGGAAGAGCAGAGGTAAAGATCACAAGAGATTTCTAGTATACCCTCTGCCCCAGGGAACTACATGGCTTTCAGCCTGAGAGAGAGACCATCTGTATTTATGGGACCGTGTTTCTAAATTGTGGGCTTCAGTCTTGTCAAGAGAGCAATTTAGTGGATCACGAGGGTCAATTACTTTTAAATGAAAGAGAACAGAATCTGATAGAGGACACCAGGCTGCATTCCCCGAAGCAGGAGAAATAAGGAATGCTGCGTACTGCTGTGCGCACACAGGAATGTTATCGATTAACAACGCAACATTTCATGTGGCAGGGTGCTGCTGTGAAGTCCAAAAGGCTCTTGGTAGAAGGGACTCTATTTTCAACATACTAAACAAAATCAGCTGTGAGTACTGACCCTTTTCATCATTCTTAGATCTGTGCTACAATTAAACAGAGAACGGTGTGGAATATTAGAACTGGAAGGAGGAAGAAAATTAGCAGAGTGTAAATAAGTGAACAATGACAAGAGACCAGAGAGCAAAAGAAAGAGACAGGTGAAGTCTGGCCACACTAAGGGCGCCCTGGGCAGTCTCCCTTCTCATGGGAGCTGGATATGTAGTAGCTGCTCAGTAACTGCCCAACCAATAGGCCCTGGAAGCACCTGTGTGCTTGTCTGTTTAATGCCAGGCACCTCCGCTGTAGTTGTATGTTAAAGGTAGAATACAATTTGGTTCACTGCTGTCTACCCAACCCTATGACAGTGCCTGACATCAGCACGTGTTTGATAAGTTTTGGTTAGAACGGAAGGGTATCAAAGGACAATTACGACCAAGCTCTGATACCCATTTGATATCTGAACCACTTTGCAAGAACACACTGATTTCAGTTCATTGAGAAGAAGTTAATGAGAGAAAAATAGCATCACGACAAAACTCTAAAGTGAAGTGATGAGGGAGCAACTGGCTTGGAACCTCTGTGCCTCCTGGCCCAAAGGACAGGTTGACTCCAAGGACTGGCCACACCCTTTTATAGAACAGGGACCTCTTACAGGCTATTTAGCCTATGGAGCTCAGACCTACTCTCTGGACCCAACCTGCCTCCTGCAGAGCACAAATGCTTTTCTAGCATGGACAGCTTGAGAACAACAAGGCTATTTCAGAGGTCTAATCCTTATCACTGCCTGGGGCAGGCAGGAGGCCCAGGAGGGCTTGAGAGAAGCAGCCAAGGGACTAAGGCAGTCAACAGTGAATCAGAGCTTGGCTGCTTCCCCACAAGAACCTTGGCTAAGGGAAATGAGGGCCAGGAAGTGGTCATTCGCCTTCTTCACCTCTCTTCAGCGCCATCATCCCTCTGTGATCCGGTGTCCAAGGCAACTCTCCATAGTCACGTGGTTAGGGTGGGTTGTCCTGAGCTTTAGTATGAAGTTCTAGAGTTCTAGACTCACTGGAAAGGCATGTGGAGAGTCATCACTGGAGAAATGGATGGAAGATGCCGCACACCACAGAGCTAACTCAAATTCAAGTTCAAGACAGAGCTCACTCGCTCAGCCAGGCAGACATCCTGACAGCTACTATCAATTACAGCTCTCTTTACCTAGGGCATTAAAGGTAGAGACAGCAGAGACTGGAGCACTATTTTACATACACACACACCCCACCCTGCTCCTCACAGGCAGCCACGTCTCCCTCTCCCTGATGAGGAGGCAGGAGCAGAGCTACTGGGCTGTACACTCAGCGGACACCAGGGCACCCAGAGCACTACATGGGCAGCACCTTGGTCTCCACCCCAACCCAGCCCTGGTCACAGCGCTTCTGACCAGCACACGCTGGCGGAATGTACGTCACCCTGGGCCAGCCTGAGCAAAATGGAATCAAGGCAGCAGTTGGCTGGGGACCAAGGAGGCGAGAAGGAACACAGCCTGGGCTCGAAAACAGCAGCATCTTTGTCTCCGTGGTTCACCTCTTAACTGTCTTTAATATAACCAAATCCCTCCCTGTCTCAGTTTCCCGAAAATTTATGTCAAAGATGAAACACATGTCTATGATGTCTAGCAGTACCTGGCAACACCAAGGCCAGTGTATGACATTGATCATCATTAGGATCGAAGTATGGCAAAGTGGGTCAGGGCAGAGCTGTGGGAATGAGGGACTCCACGAACCTCGCCAGCTATGGGGGAATTTCCTTCACCTCTGAACTGTAACCCTCTCATCTTCAAAGTGGGGATAACAAAGCCATTTCAGAGGATTCTGCGAGGGCTCAGTGAGAATCTCTATGAAAGGTTCTTGGCATCGAGTAGACGGCCCTAAGCGACACCGGTGCTGCCTGCCGGTGATGTAGAGAGACAGAGCCCTCTGTAGCTACCTCAGGAGTCAGAGGGGTTTCTCACAAGTCACTGGTGTTCAATGGCCTGAATGCCAGGATATCCGCAATGTCTGTTCTCCCCCCAACATTCCCCATTGCTGTGCAGGGCGCCAGTTTCCCCGCTGCCCAAGTGAGACTCTGCAGTCCTCGCCGACTCTTCCCTCTCCCCAACAGCAGACCTGGCATCAGGTTCTGCTGATTCTGCTTCTTAAGCATCTCAGTCCCACCTGCTCTCCGGCTGCCCCAGGGGTAGTTCAGGCCCCTGCCAGCCAGATAGCCATCTGCAACCTGGTTTCCCGGTCCTGTCCCCACCCCGTACAGTTTCCGAGGTGCAACTACTCCCATCTCCACAAAGTGCAGACGTGATCAAGCCTCTGCTGCTCCCAAGTCTTTCTCCCTCAAATAAAACCCAAGGCCTCATGTGGCTTTGGCTCAGCTCCTCCTCCAGCCTCACTCCAGCTGGGCTTTGTGCTCCAGACCCCCTGAGGAACTTGTCGTTTCTGAGTGAATCACGTCTGTCTCTCTCTGCAAAGATTCTACACACGCTGTTCCCTCTTAGAATACCGCTCTCCTCCTCTTCTCCATGCCAACTCACCCTCATTTTGGGATTTCAGCTTAGGTGTCATTCCTTCCAGGAACGCTCAGCCAATGCCCCCTTTGCTGTGCTGCAATGCCCGTTGTCTGCTCATCCTCCCTAGTCTGGGTGGCCCTGAAGGACAAGGCCCATCTTTCTCACTGCTACACTCCCACTGCCTCACACGTCACCTGGAAGGAAATAGGCACTCAGATGTTCCTTACTGGATAGACGAGCGGAGACAGCAGCTGGCCCCTCCTGCGCAGCAGTGTGTGTGAGGTGGAGGTGGCCTGAGCCACCAGGGCATCACTCACCTAGGATGGCCACCACCTCGTCATCCTGGATCACCTCCAGGGAACCGGAGACCACGAAGCACAGGCTGTCCACGCTTTCTCCCGCATGGTAGATGAGGTCCCCGGGGGCGCAGTGCACAGTCTGGAACTCCATCGCCAGGGCGCGCAGGCAGCCATCACTGGCCAGCCGGAAGGCCGGGTGCTCCTTGAACACCTTGCGGTTCAGGTGCACGCAGATGTCGGCTCTCATGTCCTTGGGACAGATCTGCAGAACCTGAGGGGCACAAGAGAGTGAATGAGGAGTCTCCCTATGGCCTCTAACCCACTTCCCTCTGCACCCCAAGGGGAGTAGCAACATGCAGGAAGCCAGGCCCTCTGCTTGTGGGCTGCCCTTCTTCGGGAGAGACAAGCAGAGTCTAAAACCACCCGGGCCAAACTCTCAGGACAGGGGCCTGAGCGTCAGGGCTAGGACCATGTGGGACTGCTGCGGATCGGGCTCCAGGGAAGGCGAGAGGCGGTGACATTTCAGCTGAGATCTGCACAGTCTGGTAGTGGGCCATGGGAAGGAACATTCCAGCGGGACTGCAAACACAAAGGCCCCAAGGGGGCTGAGCTGCAGCCCAGGTGAAAGATGAGGGAAGAAGAGGAGAGGCTCAGGCAAGAGAGCACGTGAGGGCTCCCCCACAGGGACTTCTCAGCCCTTGATTTTAGTGTACGGCAGGGAAACACGAGGGCTTCTGAGCAGGGGAATAAGCTAATTTATAGCTTATATTTTAAGGAGATATTGCAGCTTCACAGCGAGGTTAGAGAGCCTGGACTGGAGTGGAGCAAGAGCCGAGGAATCCACTTGGACCATTCCTGCAGCATCCAGGTGACAGGGCTGGGGGCCCGGATGGGGATGCCAGCGGGGGTCAGGGAGAGGGGCCACGTCCGGATCACAGAAACAAGCAAACACAACTTAGATGGATGTGTAACAACTGTATTTCCTGACATCACAGTGTGACAGTTTGATTTACGTATACCACATATGATAACCAAATTGGGACCATCAGCACATCCATTCCCTCAAGAAGGTACCACTCCTTTGTGTTAGGAATATTCAAAGTACTTTCTCCTAGCTATTCTGAAAATTGGGTGTCAACAGGTACAAAATTACAATTAGAAAGAAAGAACACGCTCTAGTGCTCCACAGCAGAGTAGGGTAATGTTAGACCAAATAACGTAGTTTGAACTGATGGGGCTGACGGACTGGATGTGCGTGGGATGTGGAGAGAGACATAAAGAAATATCCAGAGTGCACTGTGAGCTGGGCCTTGGCCAGCACTGACTTTAAACCCATCCATTCATTGAATGCCTATGGCACAGCAGCATCCTCTGGGCTCTGCGGATATGGACAAAATTCCCAGCCCGGTGCAGCTTCTCATCCAGTGAGAGCAGACCGATAGTACATAAAAGAAATAAATTTAGTGGTAAGTACTAAGAATAGAAGAGAAAAAGAAAGACAGAGAGCGAGAGGGAGAGAGAGAGACAGAGAGAGAGTCAAGGAGGGTTGTGATTTTATATTTCAAAATGCTACATGCATTAACTAACCTCATCTCCACTTAAATCCTATGATGTAAGTAGTAGTATTATTACTCGAGTTACAGATGAGGAAACTGGGGCATAGGGAAGGTATGTAAACTTGCCCAAAGTTATACAGCCAGGAAGTAGAACAAAATTGGGGAGCTTAAAGTTAGATTCTGCATATCCTAAGCAACTCCTAGGCTAGGCAGCTGCACAAAACAAATGGGCTTGTAGTTTGACCTGCAGCATTCTGAAAGCAAAATGGGAACTGTAGAAGGCTGTGTGGGTTTCATCTTCTGAAGAAATGAAAAATTCCCCACCTTTTCTAGAGGGAGAAATTTTTCCCTGGACTAAAGTTTTGTTAAGAAAACATTGCAAGGTCCCTTATATAGCAAGCATTAAGCAAACAAAAGGACACATTCAAGCAAACAAGTGGATTTTTATGGAGAAATCAGGAGTGTTTCTAAAGTAATCATTTCTCCCACTCTGGCCTGAGACAAAGCAGAAAGCACACAATCAAAGGTGTTCAGCGAGTGCTTCCCTGCCTTAGCACAGCCCTTTACCTCTGCACCCGAACTCTCCCTGGCTCTGGGAGCCAACAGCTCCTCCAGCACGAACCTCACCTGGCCCTGGGCAGCCTCTCTCCAACCTCTCCTCTCGGGTGCTGCTGGGCCCCTGTGCATGGCGGTATAGCAGTGGAAAGAGGTCCAAAGGCTGAAACCCCACCTTCCTCCTATGCCAGTGACTTCGCTGTTATATAGCTCATTTTTCTCCTGCAAAATGCAGGCTGCTAACATTAACTCATGAAGATTAAATGGAATTGCATCTACCAGTACACTGCCCAGGACAGTGCCTGGACTCTCAGGGGACTCAGTGCACACCGGTCCCCTCCTCTGGTGCCTCAGCATTCCTGCTGTGGGGTTGCTGGAGGAGGAGGTGAGGGTAAGGATGAGGATGAGGATGAGGATGAGGATGAGGATGGACGGCTTCCGAGGCAGGGAGGAGCTCAGATTGCCAGGGCTTGGACAGAATGCCCACTGACTGCCTTCCTCCACAAGATGCCTGACAAACAAGACTTCTCCAGAAGTGCAGATTCAATTCATGTTTTGTTCTCTCCAACCAGATCCCCGGGGACTGGGAACATGTGTGTCATGTCAAAACTGTGCCAGATGGTTCAGAACCAAGATTTACTCCCCAGGTAAATGCACTTTTAAGTATTTGGTTTCCTCTGAGTTGGGCTTTGCTGGTGGAGGCTGCTAGTGACTGAGGTCTTGGTGTGCAGCAACGTTTTATTCATGGGCACTGATCCCAGAGCCCAGAGAGAGCACAGCATGAGGCGAGGGAATCTGCAGCGGAGGAATCTCACACTGCTGCATTTTCACCTTTCTGGACTACTGGCTACACATGGGTGGGTGAAGCACCTTCAACTTCTCTCTCAGAGGCGGGTCTTGGCCTGGAGTCCCCAAGGCTGCCTTCCTTACTGCTTAGCCCTGAGAAGATACCAGCCCGGGGATCCGAGGGCCTCCCTAAAGGCCATTGGGAGGTGTCGCTATGGACTCACAGCCTCTTCTGCTGTATCGGGCAGATCTGCACTCAATTCTGGCCTCAGCATTCTCTGGACATGTGAACTTGCAGCAATACTTAGTCAAGTTTTCATTCTTTGAACTTGTGTGGAATTTTTGTGAGGGTTCCATGAGCTGTCACACAGAAAGCCTGGCACAAAGCCTGCCACAAAGGAGTGCTCATTGTCTGTAAGTTCCAGTCTCTGATGCTCTGATAGCAGCAGCAGCTGTAAGAGGTCACCCGAGGGAGGCTTTGTAGTCCACAAGGTTATAGCCAAGAGAGCCTAGAAAGGGTCATCTGCTTTTGAAGGTCATCTAGTCTGCATGTGCCACAGATTTGGAAACTGAGGTCCAGAGACAGGTGATGTGATCAAGGTTACCAGCTGATTACCAGTAAAATCAGAGGAGCCAAGTACTGCCATGCCCTGCCCGGCTTCCTCGGGCACTACTGCCTATGCTGACCTAAAGTGGAGGGGAGGGGCACCAAGGGGGAGGCCAGGCCACTAGACTGGTTCTCTCCCCAGCAAGTGCCTGCCACAGCCACTGGCAGGAGCAGCAGCCACCCTGGTCTGGCTGGGCCCTGCAGAGTTAGCACAGTGTGTCTTCAATGACTCCCTCCTTCCATCTGGACCAGAACTGGGGCAAATTCAGGGCCCTGTGGGAAGCAAGACAGGGAGGGAGGGCAAATGCCGACTGTGCTTCTTCCAGGGCAGCTGCACAGCCCAGCCCCACGGGGAGGGGAGGGAAAAGTTTCTTTCCAGACAATCAGATTTATAAAAGCACCCTAGTGCCTGGGAAAAGAGTCTCCAGGGCAGAGGTCAAAGCTCCTTTCTGCTCCATCAGCTGCCAGGAACCCACAGAACCTATGGCCACTGATGAGAGAGCAGAAAGCGTAGGCACAATTGGAGCAGATGGCAGGCAAAGCCGGGGACCAAGCACAGCCCAGCAATTCCCGGCCCTTTCGGGAAACCAGCACAACTTCACCTGGCTCCTCTTTCTGCCTCCCAGTACGGGTTTTACATTTTTTAAAAGGTGGTGGGCTGGGGCACGAGCTTTGAAGTCAGGCAAACGGGTTCGACTCTTGGCTGTGTCATCCTTCACTCACTGACGGGGCCAGTTAGTAAAATGAACTGGGTTGTCTTCAAACAAGGAGGACAGCAAGTCCCTCCCATGTCTGTCATGAAGCCCAGGCAAGGGACAGCCACAGGGAAACCTGACCAAAAGCCCTTCGTGATGCTCAAGCAACGGTGAATAGAGCTGTGGGAGTCTCAGTTATCATGGCTGAGAGCCAACAAAACCGAAGCAGCATTCCTGCAAAACTGAGGGTCAGTGAAATGCGGTTCAATTTTTCTTTGTAAGCAGTTAGCTCTCAACAGTCTGTTCTAATAGAGGAAAAGAGGAACATGCAGACCGATTCCAAAGCCTGTTGAACATGGCTTTGAATGTGCCTTGTGTTACCTTTCTGTTTCCTAATTCTAACAGTGAAAAGGAATCAGCATTCCCTGAGTATGTACAGACTAGTAATAAAGCAGTTCTGGAAAGACTGAGAAGTACAGAAAAACTGAACAGGGCTCAAAACTTCGCTTCCAGAAAATATATAAAGAAGATAATTCATAAATAATAGAAAGTCCACTGTATCTTCATCCTAGTACTGCCAATTTCCTGTACTTTATTGAAATGAATCTGAAATAGTACAAGTGTTAGAGAGCAGGAGGAATTTAGCATGCGCTCTGCTTTACAAGTGGGAACGCAGATGCCCAGGGAGATAAGGCCCACGCCTCCCGAGGGTGCGTCCCAGGCTTGTCTGGCGCGTGAGATCACCTGAACTGAACATGTGTTAGAGTCCCTACCCACTGCCTTCCTCGGTTCCCCTGCCAGAGATCTGGGATGGTGGCTGGGCTTGTTATTGGGATTTAGAGTACAGTGAGCTCACATGGGCAAGAGCCCTGGGCAGGCGACTTAAGGGGGTGACAAAGAAATTCGGCATCGAGATGAAGCATATCATACAATGTTTTTAAAATCAAAGCAAAACCCCACAATCAACAAAATATCAAAAGACCGAATAAAGATGAGATCATGGCAGTGTTGTGCTAGCTTGGAATCGCGGCAAAGGGACAAATCAGTGACACCAACTGCCTCCCTCCTGTCTCGGCCCTTATTCTTATCATGACCCAAGACTGGGAAATCCTGTCCTGGACATTGCAGTTCCAGCTCCCTCTTCTCCAGGAGACACATTTTGCCTTTCCAATTTCTTAAATAATGGCCAACTGCTAGTCTTTGAGTAAGGCCATCTGGAAGCAATCAAAACCTCTGGAGGAAGGACCTGGGAATCCAAAGCTACCCACGTGAATTCTGAGCCCAGCCAAGTTTGAGAGCCTCAATGCCCTCAAGGAAAGCAGAGACAAGTGGTTTACCCAAGCTCCTTGCACTCCTTACCTTCTCCGTGTCGATGCCTCTGGACATAGACCAGGTGGACACGATGTAGTCCATGACGCGCTCACTCAGGCCTTTGGGTACCTGGTAGAGCTTGAGAAAGTCCCGGACACTGTTGAGCATCTCATGGTACCTGTTGGTGTTGGCGTACATCTGCTGGAAAATGGTAGTCACGTTCCCGAAGATGGTCGCATAGAGAAGGGCTAGAGGTGAGGAGGAAGAGCAGAGAAGCGATACATGAGTGGTCCCTAAGCCAGGATCCCAGAGTGTCCAACTTGCTCAGAGCAGGCCAGTGGCCAGAGCTGCCCCTTCCTGGTGCAGACCGCCCCAGCCTTCTCATCAGAAGTTTATACCAAGAGCCTTTGGGCAGTGGACCCAGAGAAAGTCTCCTAACATCAGGCATGGGCACAGATGTGCGGGAGGTGGGCCAGAGCTCAGGCACAGGTGTGTGTGTTGGGGAAGGGGGCTGGGAGCTGCACTGTTTCATTTTCTACTCCTTGTCACAAAATCTTTGAGCCATGCCTGAGGCCAGCAGTCAAATATATGTTGATGCACAAACACCAGTACAAATCCAAACGTATTAGCAAATGATCTTCATCAAGCTGTGCTATGTACCAAGCAAATACTTCCGGCAGGGGACAGGCTGGTGAAGAGGACACTCAGTCCTGGTCCTCTCAGAACAATGCAGCGGGAAGGACAGACCTCGAATACACAATCATGGTAATTAAATAATAGCCAGTCTGCAGAGGGCAATGAAGGATGTTATAACCTTGTCTTGCACTTATTGGCAAATCCTTATTTTGCACTTACTGCTAATACAACAATGGCTCCTGGGGGGAAAGAATAGCTCTGACACGGTGAGAATAAAGCCAGGAGCCCTCTGAGCTCGGAGGCGTCGCAGCCAGTTTGGTGTCAGGAAGGAGGACTATGCTACGGTCACAGACTCTGCCTTCTGTCTCTGTTAGAGACGGAAGGCAGAGTCTTCTTTGTCCCTCAACGCTGAGCTCGAGAGCCACTGCTTCCAGGACGTCATTCCAGCACCCTCTCCCCACCTGTCTCAAGAGGGTGACGGCGACTTACCAGGCATCTTTCTACAGAGCGCACAGTGCACCACCACGCTTGTTCTCAGCCTGTCCCCTGACAGACCACGAAACGCTGCTTGAAGGCTGGAGACATCTTTTCCACGCCGTTGTATGCTCCAGGATCTAATACCATACTACTCTACTACTTAGAAAACGTTTATTAAACTCATGAATGCTTTTGCTTTTTGCAAAGTGAGTGATGTTTCACATACCGTAAACTACGCTCGCCGCACATAATTTCACCCGCTTTTATCCCCCAGAGGTCCAGCACCACAGTCAAGACAGCGAAGGCACCCGCCGCCCTCACAGGTGCTGCCGGCCTCGGGAATGCCTCTCTCCGGCCCTCCACTCACCACTCTGCCGTCCCCAGGCACCCACTGGCCTGTTTTCAGAAACTATGCACAGATGAGCCTGCGCTTCTAGACCTTTAATTACACGGACCGTGTAGTATATACTAGGCAGACTTTTTTTCAAACGTCATTATTTTGTCACTATTATCCCCTTTTGGCAGCACTGGGGATTGAGCGCAGGCTCTTTACACTGAGCCACATCCCAGCATTCCTATTTTTAAATGTTTTGTTTTGAGACAGGTTCATGCTAAGTTACCAACTGCACAAGCTGGGCTCAAACTTAGGATCGCCCTGTCTCAGCTTTCCAGATGCTGCACAGGTGTATGCTGCCATGCTCGGCTCTTTTTAGCAGCTTTATTAAGTTATAGTTTATACACCACAAATGCACCCATTTCAAGTATAAAATTCAATTGTTTGAGTATATTTACATTGTTACAGTATATTTACATCTCCTGGTAAGGTGCTGGAGGTTCCTTCTAGAGGTGCTTTCTAGGCTCTTTCTGTCCTGCACAAAGAACTAGTCAAGACAAGCACAAAACGTAGCAAGGTTTTATTTATTAAAGGCAGGAAAAGAAATGTGCTCTGCAGAATGAGTTCAGACCAAGTAAAAGTAGGAAAAGCAGCACACCCAGCAGCCGGAGAGCAGACCACTGTGAGAGAACAGAGAAGCACAGGGCTCAGCGGAGACTGGCTGTCCTTTGTCTCTCCCGCTCCTTAGGCCGACATCGGGTCTAGGCTGTCCTACCCAAAACTGCTCAAGTTCCATGAGAAGCCCACGCTGCAGGGCTTGGGAAACAGTTCTGTATCCATCCTGGAACTTTGCAATTAGCAGGTAATGCCGACTTTCCCAACCAGCCTGCCAGCCCTAATCTTCTGCCTCAATCCCATACATTTTTCAGTCATTCTGCCTTTTCTCCCAATCCCCATCCCTAAGCAACTGCTAATTTACTTTTTTGGTACCGAGGATTGAACTCGGGACCCTGCGCTTGTGAGGCAGGTAGTGGCACCACTGAGCTAAATCCCCAGCCTTGCTAATTTACTTTCTGTCTCTTTAGATGTTCATATTCTGGATATCTTATATAAATTAAAATCATGCAATATGTGACCTTCTATGACTAGTGCCTCTGAACCATTACTTTTTATCACTAAATAATATGCTGTTGTATGGATAGTCCATACTTCATTTATCTACTCATGGGTTCCTGAGGTTTTTTTTCTTTTTGGCTGCTGTGCGTAATGCTACTACAGTCACACACAAGTTTTCGTGTGAACGTATTTCACATTCTTTAGGGTACCTAACTATGTAAGTAATAGCCATGTCATGTAGTAGATGCTCTAACATGATGAATACTGCCAAACTATTTTGCACAGTAGCTGCATCTTCTTACATCTCTACCAGCAGGATATAAGGGTTCCTGTGGCTCCACATCCTTATCAACACTTGTTATTAGGGTCCTTCCGACTGTTACCATCCTAGTGAGTATGATCTGCTATCACCTCATGGTTTGGATTTGCATTTCCATGATAGTTAAGATGTTGTGCAACTTTTTCTCAAGTTTAGTTTGCATATCTTCCTTGGAGAAATATGCAGTCAAGTGTTTGTCCACCATTCAAATGAGGTGTCTTTTTATTGCTGAATTTTAAGTTGTTTATACACCCTAGATACAAATCTCTTTCAGATATAATTTGCAAATTCTTTCTCACATTGCTTACATTATCTTCACTTTCTATCTTCACTGTATTACTTACAGGACCAAATTTTTAGTTTTGATGTGATTCAATTTATCTGTTTTTTCTTTTGTATTCTTTCTTGACTGGCTTCTTCCATTAAGCATAATTACTTTGCTTATATGTTGCTATGTTTACAAAAGCTCATTCCTTTTTTTAAAAAAAAATAGCAAGCAGTTTATTTGGAAGTAACTAGAAAGTCACAGGAAGTTGCAAAGATAGAGAGAGATTCCAGGCACCCTGCACCCGTTCTCCCCATTGGTTCATCTTACGTGAGTGGGGTGCAGTAGCACAACCAGAAGACCAACACTGCCATAATGTTCGTGGACTGGACCAGTGGAATGGAGCAGTGCATTGCAACAGCTAGTGAGTGACTGCAGCCAACTGGTATAAAGTATATGTATAGTTCTGTGTCATTTTATTGCATGTGCAGATCATACAGCTGGCACAACATTCAAAATGCAGAACCACTGTATCACCAGCAATGTCCTCATCTTACCCCTTCATAGCCATATTCCCACTGCTCTGCCTCTTGACCCTACTCCCCAGCAACCACAAGTCTCTTCTACTTTATTAGGGTTATGTCATTTTAAGAGTGTTATTTAAGTGGAATCATACAGTTTGTAACATTTTCAGAGTGGCTTTTTCACTCTGTAAAACCCTTAAGATCCATCCAAGTTGCCGCATGTATCAATAGCTCCTTGCTTTCAATTGATAAATACTATCCCACTGTATGGATGCTTCACAATCACTTCTTCCACAGAATCTTATTCAGGCTCAGGTGAAAGACTATGGAGGAAAATGGCAGAGTGATAATCAGCAAAAAATCAACCTCTTCAAGATTCAAAATCCAGACACTGGAAAATAACAACTTGGGAAACAAAAAAGGAAGGAGGTGGATCCCTGGGACCTAGGAAGGATCTAAGGGAAAATTGGAGCACACAGAGAAAGTGAAGAGACAGACCTCAATGCAGAAAAAGGAGGAAATCTATACATCCTCCCTGGCACCCAGCTTGTTGTGTGAGAGTGGAGGATCTAATTTACAGAGACACATTGAGTGCAGGTGACTCCGAGGCCTCCAGAGAGAAATACACCAGTGGAATGGAGCAGTGGGTGGTATTCACTACAACAGCCAGTGAACAACTCCGGTCCAAGCGACTGCTGTGTCCCCAGAGAAGCTCTGTGTTGAAAGCCCACAGTGACCGGGCGAGGGACAACCGAAGGAGGTGTCCAGGGTCAGGGAGCTGGGGTTAGGCCAGCAAGAGACACCCAAAGTGTTGTCGGTTGAAAATCGCTGGCCCAACTCCATGACCAGAGGCCAGGATCAGCCTGAACTTCCATGGAGGTGAAGGGACCAGAATCAGCACCCCACCCTAGTCCTGCTGGGCGCTTGCTGGGATCATCCAACACAGCCCAGCTCTGACTGCCTCCCTGTCCACCAGTGACAGCAGACACCTGCCCTCAATCAGACCCCACCACAAGCCTGAAGATCCCAGAGGACAACCACAGGCTTGGAATCACACAGGAATTTCTTCTTTTTCTCTTTTTCCTTGGTTTTTTTGTCTTTCTTTTTGTTCTGTTTGGGGTTTTTTGATCATTGATTTTCTTTTTTCATGACTGTGAACATTGTTTTTAGTTATTTTTAATTTATTTTTGTTCTCATTTTAATTTTTTTTCCTTCTATCTTTCCCTCCTGTCTTCTTCACTAGTTTCTCAAGGCTTGGGAAATCTTCCTTTGTCCTTCAGCCTTGCTTCTAATCTCTTTCTCTTTTTCTATTTCTCTAGTTTTTGCTCTTATCCCCTTTAAATGTTCTCTTAGGAAAAAACTGCTCTACTGAGTGGGCATTTACTGTATATAATTTTCTAATTTCTCTTAGATCTTGTTATATAACTATAAATCTTATTTTTTAAGCAAAACATTTATTGTTACATTTAAGATATGCATAATAGGCTGCCGTCCCAAGCTCCTAGGCCAGAGAAGCTGAGCCGGTCCCAGTACCTGGAAGGAAGCTCCCCCACCGCCATCCCAAGCTCCTAGGGCAG